CATTATTGTACAGAGGAATGTACTCCAAAGCAGGTGGTAAATAAACACATCATTAACATGGAACCTGCAGGAGAACAGAAGAACGAGGAGACCTGTGGTTCACATAGTGTTTGTAGTCAAAGTGCATATGTAGATAATGAATACAAGTCATAAACTTACAGTGCTTTCAAAAAGTATTTGCAGTCTTCCTGATTTCTTAGTTTTTTTACATTATGTTTCAGGTCGATCAAATTCTAATGTTAGACTAAGATAACCCGAGTAAATACAAAATTCAGTTTTTAGGTGATGATTTCATTTATTAAGGGGGGGGGGGGGAGAGAGCTACACCTGCCTGGTTATGTGTGAAAAACTTATTGCTAAATGGTGAATTAACTGTGGAAAGCTGAGTTCAGTTTCAGTACCCACACTCAGGCCTGATTACTGTCTGATCTCGGGAAGCAACACATCATACCATGATCTAAAGGAAGGGCTGAGAAACAGTTATTAATATCTATCAGTCTGGAAAGCGTTACAAAGCCATTTCTAAAGCTTTGGGCCTCCAATGAACCAGTGTGAGAACATGGTGAACTGGCCTACCACAATTAAAGTGAGAGAGAATCAAAGGCACATTCAGGAGGTCACAAAAGAACCCAGAACAACATCTGAAGAACTGCTGGCTTCACCTGACTCAGTTAAGGTCAAAGTTCATGATTAAACAAGAAAATGACTGGGCAAAATGACATTCGTGGATCCAACACAAAGGCTCGTCTAAGATGATCCCCAAGACTTATTGGATATTCTGTGGACTGAGGAGACAAAAACTGAACTCTTTGGAAGGTTTGAATTACATGAATTACATGTGGAGTAAATCTAACACAGCGTTTTTATAAAATGATTATTGCACCAACATCCTGACAACAATTCTACCTTTCACCAGAAGATCCTAAAAGAAATTACTCTGTCACCAGTTCATGCCCTGAAGCTCAAGAGCATTTGCAGCAGGGCAATGATCCGAAACACACCAGCAAGTCCAGCTCTGAATGACTCAAAAAATACAAAAAAACAAACAAAATGAAGGTTTTGGATTGACCTAGTCAACGTCTGCACCAAATGAGACGCTTTGACACGACCTTAATCAGGTCGTTCATGCATGAAAACCCTCCAGTGTGGCTGAATTAAAACAAATGGACAAAAATTCCTGCACAGGGATGTGAAATACTCATAGCCAGTCATCCCTTGATTACCATTCTTGCTGCCAAAGGTGGCACAACCAGTTATTAGACATAGGGGGGAATTACCAGGTAGGTTTGGATAACAAACTGCATTTTGTATTTACTCTGGGTATCTTTGTCTAATATTAATATATCTTCGATCTCAAACATTTATGTTTATCAAATAAACAAAAAAAACAAGCAAACCAAGAAATCAGAAAGAGGACAAAGTTTTTAACAGCAATGTAAATTTTGAGTTGCAAACTGCTTGAAAGGACGGGCTGTATTGTTCTGGTCAACAGAGAGAAAAGTAGAAATGTCTGACTCTCAGAAAATAGGCAGTTTAACTGGCATGTAAAAGTACTGCTTATTGTGCAGGGAGACAAGCTGAGCAGCTTAAAAAGACCCTGAGGGGAAAAGAGGTGTGAAGCAGAACCAAGGGACACCGGAGCGGGGTAAATAATTACAGTGGGAAGAGGTCAGCGGCAACAGCTTTCACAATACCTCTGTCCCAAAATGCACCTTGGCCTCAGACTGAGAGAAAGAGAGGAGCCGTTAATGGCACTCCCCTGGGATCCATTAGCAGCCGCTTTCTCACAGAATGTGGAGGGTTGAGGCAGGTGAAGGCTTCGTGGAGGGGACTGCTTTTGTGGCAGCAGCTGTAATTACCTCTAAAACGTGCTCTATTCCAACTTCTCTCACCTTTGCCAATTACCAAAATACCAATCCCTCAATACAAACAATACGGCGTAAGAACAAAAAAACAACCCACTGCTAAAAGACAAATTTACATCCCCTGTTGTGTCTTTAAATTTATGGGAGAATGTCTTACCTGTGGTCTCGAGGAGAGGCTTGAGGCTGCAGGAGGCAAAACAAAGAAAAATTAGAGCAGTTTAACACTTGAACTCCCCAGTTCATTTCAGCATTTATGAGTCTACACAAAATTGTCAGCCTCTGGGTACCTCCCACGTACTTGTGCGCACACTGAGCGGCTGAGTCCCGGTGCCTCCGAGCTATGCAGTAACCAAATTCTAATAACGCTGGAACGTGTGCCAGATTACAATGGATTTATAACTAAAGCCCTCGTAGGAGTTTCGACTCTCCAATAATGGAATACAATTTAAAAATCACCGAGCTCGATATTTTAGCGTTCTAATTTATTTTGCTATTTGATTAACGTTCCCAAAGGTGAATATTGTTTCAGATTCAGCTATTAGGAGTAATGAGCTATAACGTTTTCTTCCCGATTTGATCAAATACCAAATTTAAATGATGATGGCTGAAACAATTAGGCCTGTATTTAAACTCTGTGCATCTGAGCAGACATCAGAATCGAAAGCACAAAGTCACAAATGGGTGCAGAGGAACCTGGACCGCACTGAGCAAACCATCCGAAAACGGAACATTTCAGCGCCGTGCAGGACGAGACCTTCTGAGTTCAGGATTACAAAGCTGCTTGACACCTTGCTGTGCACACAAAGACACGTGAAACAGGCACAAAGCCGAGTGGCAGTGTGAGAGACGAGGAAATACAAAGGAAGGATACAGAGCAGGAGTGTGCAAGGGGCTGAAAGAGGAAGAAGACACGAGGATCGATAAGAGCACTGACAGGTGGTAAAAAAAATCAGAAGGCGGATCATGAGTTTGGTTGATATTGTAGATTATCAGAAAAGTACCACCGTTTCTCCACAGGCTCAAGCGTGCACCTTTTTAGTGGAAAAAGTACCTCAAAGATGTCTAAAGTCAGTGTTGTGCTGTGAACATACTGGGAATCATTGGCTTTCATGCCATGCATGTGTAATTTCAGTTATCCCATGAACCTAACGGATCTACTTCGAGTTCAAGTTAAATACTGCTTAATAACATTCAATGCTGTTTTAACAATAATATGTAAATAAGTATGATAAAAGAGGGGAATGTTACAAAACCATTTGTGTAGCTGAAATGTAAAAGGTGGTATTTAAAAAGTAAGATGACAGACAATTACTGTAAATAGCAACTATTTTTAAAAACTCTTTGTTGTTCCAGACGTGATTGAAGCTAAACTGCCAAATATTCTCCTGTCCCAGCAATTCAACATATCAGTCTGTTTTGGCAAATTTATCTCAGTCGCAAACACATATTTCAGATCAAACAAATTTAAATATTAGACATAGATAACCCGAGTTAATACAAACTGCAGTTTTTAAATGAAGATTTCTTTTAAGTAAGTGACAAAGCTGTCCAAACCTAGAGTACCTGGCCCTAAGTGAAAAAGCGATTGCTAATAAACTAATGTGGCACCCTTGGCTTCAAGACCTGCAATCGAGCAGTTTGTGATAACTAGAAATGAGCTTTCCACATCAATGTGGAGGAATTGTGGCTCACTCTTCTTTGCAGAATTGTCTTAATTCAGCCACAGTGGAGGATTTTCCAGCATGAACAGCCTGCTCAAGGTCATGCCAAAGCATATCAATCAGATTTAAGTCCAGATAACCCAGTGTTTACATCCAAAGTGTGCTTGAGGTTCAGGACATGAGCTGATTGATGGTCAGACATCCTCCTTCAGGATTTTCTAGTAGAAAGCAAAGTTGATGCTTCCTCCAATTACAGCAAAACAGCCCAAGACCATCACACTACCACCACCATGTTTGACTTTTGCTATGTTCTTTTCTGAAATGCTGTGTTAGTTTTGTGCCAAATGTAACGTTTGTCTCGTCAGTACACAGAATATTTTTTCCAAAGGTGTTGGATTTTTTTGTGAGACCAGTCTTTGTGTTCTTTTCTCCTTGGAACTCTCTCATTGATACCATTTTTGCCAGTCTCTTTTTTTGTTGTTCAATCATGAACTCTGACCTTAACTGAGGCAGGTGCAGCCTGCAGATGATGTAGTTATTTTGTGACCTCCTGGATGAGTCGTCGCTGCACTCTTGGGATAATTTTGGTAGGCCGGTTACTCCTGAGAAGGTTCACTGCTGCTCCAAGTTTTCTCCATGTGCAACTAATGGCTGTCACTGTGGTTCACAGGAGTCCCGAAGCTTAAGAAATGGCTTTCTAACCCTTTCCAGGCTGATAGATGTCAATGACTTTGTTTCTCAGCTGCTTCTTTAGATCGTGGCATTTCTTGATTCAGCCAGTCTGGCAGTAATCATGCCTGAGTGTGGTTAGTGAAAATAAGCTCAGCATTCCAAAAAATGTGGTTAATCACAGTTAATTCATCGTTTAACGAAGAGGAGATTAATTACTTTCTCACACAGGGCCAGGTAGGTGCGGGTAGCTCCTTTCTCTTCATAAATAAAATCGTCATTGAATAACTGTATCTTGCAATTACTCGGGTTATCTGTGTCTAATATTAAACATTTTTTGACGATCTGAAAGATTTAAGTGTGACAAATATGTAAAAAAGTAAGAAATGATCACAGCACTGTATCTTGCACATGCGACATCAGTTTTTCTGTGAAGG